GAGAAGGAGGAGAAAGAAAAACGGCAGGGGGAGGAAAATGGGCAGGCGGGACAGACTTGGATGTGTGGATACAGTGGTGGCCCAGAGCAGATCTCCTCAAGGCACCGTGGAGAAGAGCGTCTTCTTCTTGCTTTGGGCGTCAAACAGGTCAGGCTCACAGGGCAGCTATCATCTACTCTCTACAAGGATGCCACTGGCTTGGCAGCCATGGGGTTGTGGAGAGGGTGGGCAGGGATGATTCCAGGGAGCGTAGGACAGGGCTGGGCCTTCGTAGGCCTCCGTGGCCACCACAGGAAGACCTGTCCCCGGCAGAAATAAATTGCTTTAGCCCTGAGATTTGTAGGCCAGTGTGTCAGTGTTTGTTGTCTCATCCCGAATCAGTCACTTGGTTCTGACTGTTCTGGGATGAACTGAAACTATGAGGTTTCCAAAGAAGTCTGTATTGACCTTTACATGACCTTCCTTGGACCCCGATGCTCCTTAATGTCTTCTGTTTGGCAACGTAAGTAACTGGGGACATTTTTATGCAGAAGGAACTTTGTGGCATTTTTAAGAGGCTCCAAAGCCCTCCTCCTAGACACCCACGCCTCGGCAGAAGTCTGGGGGTGGGGGCGGAGTATGGCTGTTCAAATCCTTGGCAAACCCTCAATAAACTACTCATGTGGCTGTTAACAGGCTTTTCTCTGCACACGCTATAAACAGGTAATTAGAATTAATAGCCTTAATAATAAAAAAAAGGTTTTTAAGCCTACATTTTCATTTTCTTTCTCTGGCCAGATAGCTCAAAATAAACGTTAAGGTTTCATTAGAACAAAATCATATTTTCCAAAGCCAAGCAGCATACAGGAGTCCGCAGCAAGCATCACAGCCATGAGGAAGAAAACAGTATGCCTGAACCCCCTTCAAGCTTGAGGAGCTGCAGCACCCGGTTCTACCTTTCATTTCACTCTCTTTACACTTTGGGTAGCCTCTGATGAGGACTCATGTTTACAGAAGGCAAAGACCAAGATACGACTGGATGGGGAACGAGGAGAACTTACAAAACACGAGGAATAAAAACATGTAAACATAACATCGCTTACTGAGTGCCTGATTCCTGGCAAGTATGTCACCAGATACGCACCATTGCCCCTGTCGTGTAGATAAAACATGGGGACATGCTGAGATAAGGGTGTCCTAGTGCAAGGTAGCACACGGCTAAGAGAATGTGTGAACTGGAGTACAAACCAACAGCCTAGTGGTTTCTTCTACCCTCTCTGCTCTCTCCTCCTTCCCTCACCTCTTCCTCTTAGAAAAATCACACTATTGAAGTATAATTTACAAGCCGCAGCAATAGCCCATTGAAGTGTGCAACTCAATAATTCCTAGTGAATTTATTGCACTTTTTAGTCATTACTGTAACCTAATTTTGGGCTCCCCCCGCCCCGCCCCCCATCCCACCCCCATCACCTCAGCCTTCCACCTCATGCTGGGTATAATTTAACCTGCACTCCTACCACTCCCCCAGGATTTCATGGCTCTGCTTCTGTTTCTAAAGACTTGTCATTTAGTCCTTGTGAAACAATATATGATCTTACGTGTCTGGCTTCTTTCACTTAGCATCATGCTGTTGGTTCGTCCATGTAGCATACGGAAATACATGGCTTTTTAAAATGGGTAACAGGATTCTGCTGTGCAGATGTACAAGATGATAGCCATCAGATCACCCTTTTGAGGGACATGTGAGTTCTTCTCAGTTTTTGGTCATCAGGAATATGAGAAATGGATACTTTATTTTTCTTGGCTATATACTTAGGAGTGGAATTGCTGGATCATGTGGTAACTGTGTTTACCCTTTTCGAGAATTCTGAGGCATTGTTTTTCAAAACATATCTCATTTTACATCGCCATCAGCAATGAGTTGTAGGTTTTCCACATCCTTGCTAACATTTGTCATGTTTTGTTTTGTTTTTTTTTAAATCAGAGTTACCCTAGGGTGGGAAGTTGTGAACACTTGATTGTGGTTTTGATTCCTATCCCCTAATGACACTGGGTGTTAAACATCTCTTCATGTACTCCCTAGGTCTTCATACATCAACTTTGGAAATCAGCCTGCTCATGATTTTAACAATTTCTTTTAGTCTGTCTCTGTCTTTCTTGCTTATCAGTAAGGGAAAAGATCTGTCAATTTTGTTGATCTTTTCAAAGAACTAACTTCTAGCCTCATTGATTTTTTTCTTGTTTTGCTTTATTCTATTTTATTGGTTTCCTCTCTAAACTCTATGAATGCCCTCCATTGCTTCTTGCTTTGAATTTAGTTTGCTCTGCTTTTCTAGTTTCTTAAGATAAAAACTTTGTTATTGATATTTTTGGTGCTCCACTTGGAACATCATTCTTCTGAGGGAAATGGTGGTGTTATTGGTTCAGCAGGTCCTGGCAGAATGTACTCAGCCTTACCAGCACTGGGGCTGGAGAGAGAGGCATGTGGCAAGAATGCCACAGAAACCTAGACTTTACCCAACATTCCCTAGTTAATTCCAGTGACTATTTCTGACAGTTTTGCTCAGTTTTCCTCCCTCCATGGGAAATCAAGTCTTGTTTGGGCTCAACCACTCCTCAATCGACCTCTCATAGAGTCTATGTTTTTGCAGTCATGGGGCATATTTCATTTTAAAAGATTCTTAAATCTCAACACACTGTGCCTCTGGGAATCTGCATTTATAGCAGAGAAAACCAATAGAACTGTTCCAGCCCAAGCATGCAAGGAAGGGGGGGCACCTGGCCCTCACCCCACCGCTCTGGCAGAGGCTCCTGTGGTGTCCTAGAGGGGATCATAGCACACACTGTCTCCTTCTGTGGCTTTGCCCTCCACACAGGGGTTTCCAGATTCTGATGTGAAATGGCCCAGACTACAAACCCAGTCTTCTCCTGAAGGAAACTGGCCCCACCTTCTCCTTTCCTCAGGGATTCTGGAAATGAGAGGTACAAGGCTCCAGTGCCACACTTCCTCTTAGTAAAGCCCTTCTTTTTTTTGGGGGGGGGGCGGGCACATGGTCCTCATTTGTAAAAGAGAGCAATAATAACTTTATCTACACACAGTTACATAGATGTGAGGACATTTCCATGATAGTTCCAAAGTTCCATGCTTGAAAATGACTGAAGTGCAGTAAATTAGGAGGCTTTCAGTAATGAACTAGTATGCTCCTCAGGTACCAAGACACAGTGGCAAGAGAAGGGATGCTCTTTCCCTCACCACTTCCTCCTTTTCCCTCTTCTCTACTCAGGAAACAAGATGGCTGCAGAACAGCAGGTGGCATCATGTCTTCCCAGTGTTGAAGACTGCCACCCATGAGGGCCCTGAAGGGGTGAAGAATGGAGCAAGAGCAGAGAGAAGGACAGAGTTCTCCTTTGACCTTGGGAAATGTAAGCGCATGCCTAGCCTTGGCCACACTGTACCTGCTTGGCAAAGGGGCAAAGGGGCAGCTCTGCATCTTGAGCAGAGACTGCAAAGAGGACCAGCAGAGAAATCCCTGCTGGGTGGTTTTTCCAGACCTGTTCTTCACGTTCACTTCGAGTCATCAGAGGCCGACTGCCATTCTCACCAAACTTACTGGTGTGACACAGCAGACATCACCCCACTCAGAGTGCTTTCTATCAAGAAAAGATTCAAACTTTTAAAGTTTGCTTCGTGAGACATTAGGATTGATTTTATTTTTTCAAAATAGATTGCTGTAAACTCTAACTTCAGGCTTCAATTTCTAAGGAAAGCAAAGCCATTCATTTCAGCACACATCACTGGTACACACTGCTATGGTGCATAAATGAAAGAAGGCCTGGATCCTAGGCTGGATAATAAGATAGTCTAAGTCACAACTTTGTCTTTTAATTATTGATCATCAACTTGATGAGGACTAGAACCACCTAGGAGACAAATCTTTGGCAAGGAGCTTCCTTTGGTAAGGAAGCTTCCAGGGTGGATTAATTATGGTGGAAAGACCCACCTTAATACTCTGGTGCTGTTCTGTGAGCCAGAGTTTGGGATTAAATGAAGAGGGGAAAGTGAGTTGAACATTAGCATTCATCTCTCTGTTTCCTAGCAGAAACAAAATGATCTATGACCAGTTGCATCGGGCTCCTGCTACTCTGATGGTTGCTCCCTTGTACTGGCTAGTCTTATGAAAGCTTGACGTACAAACTAGAGGTATCTGAAAGGAGGAAATATTAACTGATAAAATGCCTCCATCAGATCCAGCTGGAGGGCATTTTCTTACTTAGTGAGCAATAGGGAAGGCCCCAGCCCTTTGTGGGTAGTTCCATCTCTGGGCTGGTCCAGGGTTCTATAAGAAAACAGGCCAAGCAAGCCATGGGGAGCAAGGCAGTAAGCAGCACCCCTCCATGGCCTCTGCATTAGCTCCTGCCTCCAGGTTCCTGCCCTGTTTGAGTTCCTGTCCTGGCTTCCTTTGGTGATGAACAGCAAGCATAAGCTGAATAAGCCCTTTCCTTCCCAACTTGCTTTTTGGTCACAGTGTCCACTTGCAACAATAGAACACTGACTAAGACAACCCTGGTGGGACAAAGCAAACTCCACCTTCTTTAAATTCCTTTGACAGATATTTTGTTGCAACAATGAGAAAAGTAACTAATACACTTAGCTTTTCTTCTATAAACTAGGAAAGTTGCCATGACCAGCAGAGAGCACAAGAGAGAAACAACCTCAAAACCACTGAGATTCTGGACCAGAGCAGAATTGGACGCTTGAGTTTCAAGGAAACATGTGGAAACCTTCCTCACTGGAGGCCTTCTTGCGTGTACCACAGCCCCTGCCTCAGCACTGCAGCGCCCCAGTCTTACCTCAACCACTTCACACCCCAACCTTCTGCTCAGGTCATCTCCTACAGCTCCTTCCTTCACAGTCACTCTTCATGCCAGCCAGCACCCTGCCCTCTGCACAAACGTCCCCAACTTTGGAGCTGGCACTGGTGGGGAGTGACCACAGGCTAAAGAGCAGACTTCAGCGTTACCTATTTGCCTTTCCAGATCAGCGGCTTCATCTGGGGTGGCTCGAGGGAGGACTCCTGGATCACTGAAGCTGGTCCGAAGCAGAGTCCCCATGACAAAGAAGAACAGGATGCCTCCGACCGCAGGGATAGCAGGTGTGATGTTCACTGCGAGGTACGGACAGCTGCCAGCAGGTTGCAGAGAGAAAGAAAGAAATTACAGTGTTAGGATCCGGAGTCAGTTGGTGAGGCGGGTTTCTTTTTGAACTCAGAATTGATGGGCAGGGTTGTGTCAGACACTTGTCCGGCAATCGTGAGAACCTGAGCTCGTATCCCCAGAACCCATTCAGTATTGTGTGTCTGTAACCTCTTCTATGGAGAGAAGGGAGACTGACACAGGAGACTTCACAGAAGCTCACATGTCAGCTACCCTGGCACATTCGGTTCTGAGCTAATAAGGAAATCCTGTCTCAAATAAGGTGGATGTCGAGAAAAGACCCCTCCCCCCCCCCCAAGTTGTCATGTAACCTCCGCTTGTGAGCTGTGGCCTGTGCACACCCACACTCTCTCTCACACACACGTACGAGAGATGAATTTGAGTTTTAAAGAAGAAAATGTAGATTTGGGATGGTCTTCAGTGTTCTCTGAGACAACTGATCCCCATGACAGTCCAAGTCCCCTAAGAGCGATGCCAGCAGAACAGAAATAATCCTGCTTATACAATCAATCTTAAATGTCTTGAGTTTGAATCAATATACATGAGTCCTTTGCATCAATATACATGAGTCCACTTATCCATAGCCCCACCCATCTCTGGAACCACCGAACACGATGCCAGTGTGGAGACACGGCTATCCGACCCACCAGGCTCAAACAACTCAGGAACTTTCTACCAGTGTAATATTCCCTTGGAAAAAAACTCAAGGAATCATATGTTAATATTGTGAGGGCAGTTTGTACAAAAGAGGGCGGCGCTATGCCATGGAAATGAACTTGCAGGGGAGGTTCTGAAGAGTGGGGGCAGGACAGGGGGGAGGTCCTTGGCTGAGCTACACCAATCCCAGGCTTTCCCAGAAAGCCTCTGAATTACCAATTCATGAGTGTAGTCCAGCTCTTATTATTTCTGTTTTGTTTGTTTTTAGGAGATGGCGAGGTGCTGTCTTTCTTGGTTCCCCAATATGGACTTCACACCCTGGACCCAAGTCATCCTCCTGCCTGAGCTTTCCAAGTAGCTGGAACAACAAATGCTTATCACTATTCTATGAAATCCTGCTTATTGGTGGACAGAAGAACATATGCTGTAGGGGTAGTGGAAGGAGAGGAGAGGAGAGACTTTGTCAGAATAAAGTTTGTGCCTGAGACTTGGCATCTGACCCTTGTCCTCATACTGTGGTGTGGTGGGGCTGGGTAGGTCCAAGCATTGGGCACTTGGCCTGCTGTCATGGTGCCTTGGCACCACAGAGGTGAGGAGTGGAAGAGGGGAGAGTTAGTTCAGTGCTTGGAACTTAGTATAGGAGAGGTCTGCCATGGCTATCATTAGTATCTTGGGGCCACATTAAACACTGTCAAGGGTGTGGAAGAATGCAATGACACCATGGGCTCACAGTGCTGAGGGGAGGCCCTCCTAGGAGGCCCTCAGTAGTCCTGGCTGTTCCAGGCAAGAGTAGAAGCCACAGAAGAAGGAAGCAAGCTCTGCTGAGAACTGGAGGTAGATGAGCTGTGGCTCCCACCCAGGTACCAGCACCCCCACTGTGTGCAGCCTCTGGGGGATTCCCAGGGGGTACTGCCAAGAGTCAGCTCTCAAGGACCACAAGATGGGAACCGCTTTGTTGAAGGAGCAAAGACCTTTCAGAATCCTCTGCTCTGAAGAAGTGCAGAGACTCCCCATGGCTTTCAGAGGGTGGTAGGATGGTCCTAGATGTGAACGCTGGAGACTGATTCCCAGCTGGCCGTGTGGAGCTTGTCTCTAGGAAAACCACCTGACTAGACATGACACCCAGAGCATTTCCAGTACCTCTGTAACCACTCCCACCAACTCTGCTGCAGAAACAGAGCAAAGCAAAACCACAGCACAAAACAGACTCTGTCGCACTCCAGCTGGGATGACAGTTCTGATGCTTCTTCACGGGATTAGAAACAACAGATCATTGTTATTCTTGTACCAACTCCAGGCAGCTATGAGCATCCTCAGAGAGTCTCGTAAAAGTGAGCTTGGCAGGAGGAGTGTGAGGATGTGAAGGACTTTGTTTAGGAAAAAGAAAAAAAATCTAAGAAGCATTGACTTCAAGAACCTTCTGAATGGGGGAACTGTGCCCCAAAGTTAGCATGTCAGAAACAATCTCCAAAGTGACTGTCCTGAGACTTGAAGGCTTTGGGGAACAACTTACCAACAGATTGAAGTTGCTTTGGAAGCTCCACCCTTCAAAAGTGTGTCGGCTGTAAGAGTGAGCCCATCCCTCTTTTGACTTCCCTTTGCCTCGCCTCTTCTCTTTACCCGCCCTGAGGAGACGCAGCCCTGACTGGAGGAAGGCCCCTTCACTGTCGGATTCCTAGCCTCCAGAGCTGTCAGAAATGAACCTATGCTCCTTGCAAACTGCTCAGTCTCAGGCGTTCTGTGATAGCATCATGAACTTGACCAGTGCACCCCTGTGGAAACATCTACTCAATCACAGAAGATGCCTCTTCAGTTCAGTTGGGATTGCTGTGTGTGAAGGGGGTCTGTGCTTCCCTCTAAAGGCTTTAGGCAAACCCCAACATAATTAATGCTCTCTAGTGGGCTTCCACCTTTTCTAAAACATTTTGGTTTTATGATTGTAAGCACCGAAAAGCTTCAATTTAAATACTTAAAGAATTCAGAATCCCACAACCAAGCAAAAAGCAGTTCTCTTATACCCTTGAGCCTGCAGAGAGGTTCCTGTTCTTAGGAAATATACTCTGCAGCATTTAGGGATAAAGTACCATACAGAGTTCTTTCAGATAGTTTAGAAAAAACTATGGTGTGGGGGGATAAAATGGAACAAATATTCACAGGTGGATTTGGGTGCAAATAGATATATGTTATTTCATTATTGCAACTATCCTGTGGCCTCCAGTGTTCTGAGGCCTGTAGCTCGCTCCATGTGGAAGCTGAGGAGCGGCCCTTCTGTGTGGCTTCCTCAGAGAAGACAAAAGAATGTTCCATAGCTCACTGAACTACTGTGTCGGGTCCACATTATGCAAGCATTTGCCAGGCCCTCTAGGATCCTCTGTGCTCTGAAGCTCTAAGAGATGAGGTCTTTATGTCAGTACAGCTTTATAAAACAGTGGGTCCTTGGTGACAGCTGTTCTCTTCCACCAGCCTCTGCATGACCAAGAACCGCCCTAAGTTCTTGAGAAGGCCCTGTGATCTCTGTATCAAACCTGCAGGATTCATGCTTCTGAACAATGGCAGCTGCGCTAGAGGGACAACCTCGGACTGGAGCTCAGAAGAAGCCGAGATCACCTTTAGTCCTGGTAATGAAAAGCAATAAGCCTACTCTGCCTTTGATTGTCACTGAGAATGTAGAACTCCAGGAGAAATGAGACTGGGTGGGCAGCTTGCCAATTTGCAGCAACTGGCAGCATTGGCACAACAGCCAAAGGATTGTGAGCAGCATAGAAAGTCTTAGTCCAAGCTCAGACCACTTGGAAACAAACAGCCCCCTCACATTCTGAGCAACGGTGCCCTGGGCTCCAGCACCAAGCACCATCTGTGATGCAAAGACTCCACCCCCGAGGGCCTGGATTTCATACAAGATGATGATACAGCTGCCAGAGACACAAACACCAAATGGAGTCCTATTTCTGTCTCCGGAATTGTGACCTACATACAGCCCAGGGCAGCGCAGAAAACAGGAGACAGGCATCTTCATCTTCATAAAGCTCAAGTGGAAAGTGACAGGAGGAAGAGTTGGGGGGAGGGCGGGGGATAAGACTCCGAAAGCATGCGTTTTTGGAACATAAAAGAAATGAGCTAATTCGGCACCAGACAAAACAAACGCTAAAATGAGATGCCTTCAAAGCCTGCTCCTCCACTCATGTACAGCAGTGTGAGCTGTCTGCATCCTGATAGGATGATTAAATACCTGTGTACCAAGTGTCACCTGCAAGGAAAGAAAGGCCACCAGGAACAGGTAGAAGGGTGTAATGTTGCCCCAGCACCATGTGGCACTTTTCTCGGTTCTAGTAGCAATTTCATCTTTTTGGTTGTGAGCCTAGCCTTTAGTGGCTGAGCCATCTCTCCAGCCCGCTAATAAAAATTTTAATAACCATTCAGAGGAAAAATATTTGTGTGTGTTTTGATGTTTGTACATGAAAAGTAGAGCCATCTCTCAGTGTAATGTTATCTGAGACCATGAAATCAGAGCGTTATTTTGCCATTAGAAGTACAAAGCCAGGGGCTGTGTAAATGGCTCCTGTATATGAGGACCTGAGATTGCGCCTCCCCAAACCAAATATAGCTGAGTCACTGTAGCGCACATCTGTAATCCCAGGAGTCCTAAGGTGGGATGGGAGATAGAGACAGAAGGACCCCCACCCCCGAAGCTCACAGGCCAGCTATGCTGGCAAATAAGAGACCCTGTAGAAGGTAGAAGGCGAGGACCAATGCTTGAGATTCACTCCGACTTCCACACGCATACCGTGGATGGGGATGGCATGCACATGCCTGCATTCATACATACAGATAAAATGACTCTGCACAGAGTGTCTGTATTCACATGCCCATACATTTTACATTATACTCAATTCAGGTAAAATGATTCTCTTTATAGCCAGATATAAACTTTATTTTTGCCATTGGCTAAATGGCATCCTAGAATCATCAATTCTTACATTTCTATTTAAAGATTGGTTCAATGGGATAGAATTTGACATAAAGATAATTCCTTGGATGAGAACCTTGAGACTAGTTTCTTCAACATTTCAAATATGAAAACTGGATTTTATTATTGAGCAGTGAGGTCCTGGTTCATCCACAAGCCAGTCTTTGGGAGAAGATTAACTTTACTTTAAGAGAGACAGAACAGAAGGGAACAAAACAAGACAACATTACCAAGGTGCAGCAGAAACATTATAACCATGTGATGGAGAACCTTCCCCAGATCAAAATAATTCGCCTTTTAATGTTTTGTCAGCCTTTATACACGTATTAAAAAGTTCTTGTTAA